TAAATGTCAATACATGTTATACTTTCTGGGACCAGTTTAATGTCTGACTCTGTATAGTAAACTAGTTGGTAAAACGATGCAGCGACATTCTTATAACAGCACCCTACATCAGTTTTTCAATAGAACTTAGCATAAAGTACTTCACCAGTAGACTTCCACAAGTGTGTAATAACTTTGTATTATTTATGTTTCACATATGCAACAACAATTCACTTTGTAATAAAAAAATTTATGGATTTAGATTCCTCTTAAAAAAAACAAGTTCATTATGTTTAAGTTCACGAAAAACAGCTTTAGATTCCTCTTAAAAGAAACAAGTTCATTATGTTCACGAAAGCTTAAAAGAAACAAGTTCATTATGTTCACGAAAGCTTAAAAGAAACAAGTTCATTATGTTCACGAAAGCTTAAAAGAAACAAGTTCATTATGTTCACGAAAGCTTAAAAGAAACAAGTTCATTATGTTCACGAAAGCTTAAAAGAAACAAGTTCATTATGTTCACGAAAGCTTAAAAGAAACAAGTTCATTATGTTCACGAAAGCTTTAGATCCTGGAAAACAGCTCGGAGAAGAACTAGCATCTGTTTTGTTTTTAAAATCAGCATTAAAAGAACTCATCACTGTTGTAATATTTACTTCAAAAAACAATTTATTCGGATTGTTTAGATTTAAATAAAAACAACTACCACAATGCATTGCACATTTGACAGTTTGTGGGAAAGGTCTATTGCTTTATTTTTATCATATTAAAAAGGTAGAGTTCCGCCACCTCTTTTTCTAGAAAAAAAGCACTGTGTAAATATATATATGACTTTACCCTATGTCATCGTTTCTTCCATAGCTAGGCTAATTTTTTGTTGTTTAATTTGGCAACCCAATGCAATTGAAGCTTTTAGTTTAATTATTAGGTTTATTATTCTCTGTCTATTGTATTTTATTTTTTGTTTCTTTAAAAAGTTGTGATTCGTTGTTTTTATTTTTAGTAGTTTTTCTTTACTGGAAAGAAGAATAATATAGGCCATGTGCATAACTGGAGGTATTACTACATTGTTTATGATTAGCTTTCTACCTTTGACTAATACTTTTGCCATTTTCTGAAAGCGGTTGTTCTAATGAATTTGATACGGAAATTCACCCGCATTTGAAACTAATTTTGTTTTTAATTAGAAAATAGTAGATTATCAATGTATCCCCAGCCGGCACAATGACGTTGAAATAACGTTGAAACAACGTCGCAAACCGACCATATGCCACGTTGAAACAACGTTGAAATTTGGTTGAATTGGAAATAAAATCCGACGTCGAAAACTACGACGTTGAAACAACGTCGATGATTACGTCGTTTCAACGTTGATCTAACGTCTTATCAACTACATATCAACCATATTTCAACTTTGAATAGGTGATATATTTGATTGATACGTAGTTGATAAGACGTTAAAACAACGTTGAAACAACGTAAATTCAACGTTGATTTCTGTTTTTTATTTTGGTTAAATCCAATTAACTAAAAAATTTTCTCAACTTTAATTGCAATAAAATAACACAATAAAAAAGCAATAATTTGCGCAGAGGATATTATATTTCACGTAAATTAATCAGATACAACTAAATTGCTTCAACGGACTTTAAATACAATGCAAATAAAATAAAATGTTTGAAAAAAAAAGTTTTATTTATCAGTAATATATTTATCAATTTATCAATAATAACTATTATTAATAGTTCCAGAACAACTAGGAAAAAGTATGAATGTTATACATCGGGTTTATCTCCTTTTACGCGCCGACCACCACCATTTGATCTGTCGAGTGCGTATTTTAATAAAGTCATTATTCCTTTTCTTATTTCGGCAACTGTAGCAGTCACTTTAATTGACAAAACTCTCTCTATAAAAAAGGTATTGCCTGAGTAACTTTCATCAAATACATCAAAAAGTTAAAAATAAAATAGCATTAAAAAAACGAACTGTGATTTTTAAAAAATATATAATTTTACACTTAACTTACAAGTAAATACCTAACGTTTGTTCCTTTAAACTTCTCTTTACCTTTACCGCCAGCCATATTAAATTTTGATTATAAACCATTGGTCAACAACCTGCATTATACATTGTTATTATTATTATAGTTACATTAAAAATTGATAAACATGTCTTAGACAAAATACAAATTATTCTCAATGAAAAATTGCACAAACCGCAAAGGTTTCTTACCAAACCGTAATGCAAGTAAGAAAAAGAATTGATACAGGGGAAGAGTTGTGTCCAAGGAGACCACCTTCTAAACGCAAGAAAACACCAAGAGCGGACAGTATAATCAGAAATATCTGCCTGGAAAACAGAAAAAAAGCCACTAAGCTTATCCATGAAGCTGTAATTGTTGTGTCAGACCGGACCATTTGTAGAAGGCTAAAAGAAGAGGGATTGATGTCCAGCCAAAAAAGTCAAAAATTGACAAAAAAAATTAAAAATATTAAAAATAATGTCAAAAATCTTATATTTATGCAAGATGGTTCAACTTGCCAAACAATAAAAACTTTTATGGCTTAGTTGATGTATTGCTATAGCCAGACAAACCGCATGATCTTAACCCCATAGAAAACATTTGGGAAATAGTAAAGCAAGAGATTGGAAAAAAAAATCTTACTAATAAGCAAGATCTTATGGAAGAGATTATCAAGATCTGGCATAATAATCCAATGTTGACAGAAACTATAAAAAATAAATTGCAAGCATGCCACAATGCAATGAAGTAGTTATTGCAAATAAAAGTGTTTTTGCAAAATATTTATACTTTATATATATTTTATATAATTTATCATAATAACCAATGAATATTCAAAATGTTCAACTTTATTTATTTATTTTTATCAAGTACAACTTTATAAATAAAAGAAAAATTTTTAAATTGAACCATTATTGTAGATATATATATATATATATATATATATATATATATATATATATATATATATATATATATATATATATATATATATACACTCTTGCATGGTAGTCAGAAAGAGTTTTCCATAAACTGTAGTTTTAAAGAGCGCGTTATTAAACCAGACCAGAAAAAGTTTACAAACTTAAATTATTTTTTTTTTTAAATGATAGACTGCCTGCCCAAACCAAACCCTCAGTCGATGTAGCAGCACTCCCTTGCGAGTCAGGCTATTTGTCAGTTGTTGTAGCAGCACTCCGTTGCGAGTCAGGCTATTTGTCAGTCGATGTAGCAGCACTCCCTTGCAAGTCAGGCTATTTGTCAGTCGATGTAGCAGCACTCTGTTGCGAGTCAGGCTATTTGTCAGTCGATGTACCAGCACTCCCTTGCGAGTCAGGCTATTTGTCAGTTGTTGTAGCAGCACTCCGTTGCGAGTCAGGCTATTTGTCAGTTGTTGTAGCAGCACTCCGTTGCGAGTCAGGCTATTTGTCAGTCGATGTAGCAGCACTCCCTTGCAAGTCAGGCTATTTGTCAGTCGATGTAGCAGCACTCTGTTGCGAGTCAGGCTATTTGTCAGTCGATGTACCAGCACTCCCTTGCGAGTCAGGCTATTTGTCAGTTGTTGTAGCAGCACTCCGTTGCGAGTCAGGCTAATTGTCAGTCGATGTAGCAGCACTCCGTTGCGAGTCAGGCTATTTGTCAGTCGATGTAGCAGCACTCCCTTGCGAGTAAGGCTATTTGTCAGTCGATGTAGCAGCACTCTGTTGCGAGTCAGGCTATAAAATAGTCGATGTAGAAATACTCCCTTGTAGCAGCAGGCTATAAGATAGTTGATGTAGCAACATTTACGCATGTTTTAAAAATGTTTTTTAATATAACAAAAACAAAAACACCACTAATTAAAAAAACTTTCTAGTCGTTATTATTGCGGTTTTTTAAAATTTTTTTAAAAAACAATAAAATTTAATGTACTTCCCCATTAATTTAATTGCTTTGACATTTCAACGACAATCAAATACAGCTTAAGAGACAAGGAAATTAAAATTGTAGTCGAAAGTGACTTTTTTTACATTAAAAGACTCTTTCGACTACACTATAAGGATTTATATATATATATATATATATATATATATATACATATACATATATATATATATATATATATATATATATATATATATATATATATATATATATATATATATATGTTTATTTATATACATATATATGTATGTATATATAGAGTAAAAAAAAAGGTTAAGTATGCGTTACAAATCAACCTTTGTACTTTAAGGTTGTTCTTTAGTTCAAGGAAATACAAAAGTAAGAGAAAACAGTTACAAAAAAAATTATAATCAGACATAAAAAAAAAAGATTTATATTATGTCTGATTAGAATTCGTCAAACTTTTAAAAATATATGCTTCACATATTTTTAACACAAGTTTAAAACAAACTATAATAAAAAGATTCAAAAGATTTATTATATAAAACTACTTTTAACAAACCTTTGCATCACATTTTTTTGTATTTGTCTTAATGGTTTTACCTCCAATTTTAGAAAGTTTGTTAACCTAAAGGTTTAAGAAAATAATTACACCACATTATTTTTATAGTACATTTATAAAAAGTAGATTAACTTAGGCTAAGTTATTAATAAACACTTTTTTAAAAAACAATTAAAAAAACTGCAAAAAGTCATGGTTTGAAACAACCCATCACTTCTGACCTCACCCATGAATCATTTAAACTGTTATCATAATCATTAAATTACTGCTGCAAGTTCATCCATAGAATTTTCAGAACTATTTGTCATGATATTACTTTAATTACTAGAAAGAGTTTTTACTAACATCTCTTTCTAACAATAAAGATATATCAGAAAGACAAAAGAACCAAACATTAATTAATTTCTAAAAGGGTTGAAACACAAGAACAAAACATTTATAAAATAAAACATTATTCATAAACTAAATAAAATGTATTAATTTAGCAACCAATAAAATGTGTAAATCACTGAAGCATAGAAAAAAATGTTCAGAATCTTTTCTTCCTAG